AAGAACCGTGTGTTATCTTTAATGCAGTATTCGGTCTTGACATGTAATAAAAAATGTCGTGTGATAAATTAATTTTTAAATTTTGCATTACTTTCTAACTAAATAAATGGTTTACCAATTTTTATTCCAAAATAAATCTGGTTATGAGTTTATCTGTGAGTTAAATACCAAAGGTGGTATATTTTTAATAATTTAATATATTTGGATTATGAAACAATAGATGTTCCAATTTTATTATTTAAAACTTGATGTTTCAAATAGTGACTGTAATTAAAAATAAATTATGATAAATTTAATTTATATTATAGTAGATTTTATTATTTATTATGCAGTAAGATTGATTCAATTTCTAAGTTAAAGAAACTTTATTATTTCATTCATTTATTATATTACTCTGGATATTAAGTTATAATATAATTATTAAAATTTTGTGGTATTTTAATTATTATAAATTGCACTATATTTAATTTCTCTACTTAGTAATTATAGAATATACAGAATGTTCGTAATTTATTTATATTTCATATAAGATTAATAATAATTTATTATTCATTTGGAGATCGAGAAATATACTATGAAATTTGAATATTTAAAACTTCTTTTATTGTTAATGACAATTATAAAAAAAAATAGTAATTTTTAATAAAGGTAATAAAAAATGAGTAATTAAACCTAATAAATTAATCTGTTCTTAAACTCTACACTTTTATTTATAAATGATGCTTTTCTACTTATGAGTCTGGAAAGTAAATTATAATAATATTATAAATATTGAATAGGATTTTGAATAATATTTATTATAACTTTATTGGTTAAACTAAAATATATAAATTTTATTCCTTCGTGACCATAAAAGTTATTCTGCTTTGAAATATTTTTATATAGATAAAACAAGTTCACTCTTTTTTTTCTTTTCTTTGTCTGCTAATATATGCTTCCATTATGTTTTCATCATACAAGACATAGTTTAAAATATAAGATTATGATGAAATGTAAACCATTGCTTGCAGCAGTCAATATGAATGATTTTTCGTATCTCAATGAGAGTATTAAATAGCCATTACATATGGCTCGAAATACGCAACAACACGCCATAAAGTACTGGATCGGACGTTTCCCGCAGCTTCACATGCCGCGCGTGCGACATCGCGATAAGAAAAGAGTGGCCGGCTCACTTTTCTCGAAAACTCCACGCACTTTTCTCCCTGCATCTCTCGCACACTTCATACTATCGTGAGCTCGTATGTTATACTTGACACCTCGCTACGACGTTCTAGACCAACTACGCCTGTTTCTGTTTTTTCTCCGTCTTTTTTTAAAAATTTCCTCAGGTCTGGCACTTTCTTATGTAAACGAACAAAGCACGTCATGCATTTATATAGAGAATCATTATTTAATAGATGATAAAACTATATATATGTGAATGTACCTTATATTTATAAGTTAATATATTTAATTATGAAATTGAGGTTCATTTATTCTAATAGGAACAATTATTGTAGTTATTATATTCTAATTCATAGAAATATTTTCTATTTACGTCTATTTTAATGTTTTAATTATTATTTTAAATATATTGATTATAAAATATAAAGAACTTTTTTTCTATATATTTTCGATTAAAATTAAAAATGAAAATATCATTCACTATACCATATTTTATATATATTTTTAGTATAATTAAAAAGCACATGTGTTTTAAATATTGATATAATTCAAAGTACAAATGCAAGTTTACTTTGTTTTATGATACTCAATTTACTCACCTGATTATTGTATTTGTAGTATAGCAGTATAATCATTTAGTATAATATAAAATTATATTATATAATATAATAATATATAATAGAATATAATACAATATAATAATAATATAGTATATATAACAATTTCGTATATAATGTAATAATATATTAGATAATATATATTGTTATAATATGGTATTAAATATAATAATATGGTGTAATTTCATATAATACAAATAACAAGAGAAAAAAATTAGTTTATATCCAATATTACTAAATTGCTATAAAACTTTAATATTTAAAATTATTTATCATATAGCAAATATGAATATTTATTAAATAATTAATAAAGTTTTTATATATTCAGGCTTTTCATATATAATAGCCTTTTTTATAGAATGGATCATTGCATCATATAATCATTTATAATAGGTAAAAATGCATGCTGATTAAAAAACTTTATTTCGAATAATTTTATTAAATAAAATTCATTTTGATTCTACAATTACTTAATAATATATATTTTTAATACTTCAATTATTCGTTTAAAATATCTTATTAGTAAAAAACAAGAATTTTATTCTAAGGAAGGCAGATAACAATTGATTTTTATAAAATTATTCCATCGTTTTCATTTAAAAATCACAGCATTATGATAATTTAAATTGTTCAAATTTATAGTAAATATATTTCATAAATAGTCTTACAAGTTTTCAAAATTTTCGAAAATAAATATGTATGTGTATTATGTGTATATGTAATAAGATTAAATAAAAATTTGGTTTATAATTTGATATACCATACTTGTTTCATTGCTTAATTATTCATTTTTTATATAATTGATCATTTAATATTAAGTTATATTAATAAAAAATGTATTACTTATTACAATGTAAAAATATAACTAATATATTTATTTTTAACATAAATATAAAACACGTTTATAGTTAATCATTTACGTTTCAAATTTTCTATAAAAACTGTTCTTTATATATTACATTTTAGTATATATTATATTATAGAATAATAATTTTAGTTAGAATTCTATTTTTGCTTCTTTCTTTTTTTATTATTTACAATTACAAATATATATAATTTATATATAGTCCATAAAATGTTATATATTAGAGATCTTTTTCATAAATATAATTGGTATTTTTAAATAAATAAATTATAAATTGTATTCTATTAATTACGAAATAATATCAGAGCATAATTGAATAAATAAATTTTTTCAGAACGACTGTTGCTTGTATTATCATTTTTTCTAATATGTATGTTTATATTGATATATTAAATATCCGCGTGAGAACGTGTAATATAAAAATCAATATAGTGAATTTGTAAAAGTTTTTATCGTAAAAAATTGAATATTATATAATTTAATACTACTAATACTATTGTAAAATATTCCAAATTATTTTTTCAGTTAGTGAAAAGTGAACATTGATGCAGATAAAAAAGTTCTGTCTTAAGTTTTTCGTGGGATGTAAAGAATTCGATGCTTTTCCTGTTAATTAATTAAATGTCGATAAGTATACGAATCTTAATTTAGCTGGATAGTCTTATCATTCAACTGTGACCTGTGTGCTTATAAGATGACGATGTTTTGAGAAATTTTTAAAAATATTTAAATGTACTTAATTCGTTTTAAGATTGACCTACATAAATATATATATATATATATATATATATATATATCTATGTATATATCTATTACTTGAATTGTTATTGGGAATTGTTATTCATTATAATCTGAATGCTTAAACTTTATGAGATTATTAATAACATTAGATTGAAAGAATTGTATAATAATTTCATTTTTTTTATGCATGGATAAAAATATTATGAAATTCCAATTTTTACATCTGCGAGCTAATGGATTTAATAATGTTTGAACAATTTATCAATTTTTATTTAAATTATTTTCACGTATAATTTAAATTAAGTAAAAATTCCGTTCATAAACAACTTGATCGTTTCAGTGAAATTAAATAATTATTTATTTATTTAATTAAATAAAATTAAATAAGTATAATTAAATTATTTAAAATTCATCCACGTTTACTTTGACGAAATTACAAGCTTCAAATAGTTTTTAAAAGAAAAATCACCTTTCGAACATTTCTCAAGTGAAAACAACTAAAATTACTGTTAAATGGAATAAATAAAATAATAAATAATTTTCGATTGTAAAAATTGTATAATAAATTCTATATAATTTTATATGAAGTTCAGATTATATAATAGAGTTTACAGATTATTTGGGAATATCTCATTTAAGAGAATAATCATACATAAATGCATTCAAATTGATTAAACGTTTTATTTTAAAAGTAATAGTATTTTGGTGTTAAATAAGCTTAGAAAATATTTAATTTTTGTTGTAATAATTATCAAAGATCATCTTTTTGCTTTATAGTACGTTTTATATTTTTGTACTATATTTTATATTAAGCCGTATAAATATTATATCAATTAATAAACCTATCATATTTTTAATAAATTGTTAATTGAATTAAAGCATTTTAATTTATCCGATATATCGGAGTTTTAAAAAGTTATTGTTTAAATAATTTTATATTTGTTATAGAAGAGTTATAAAAAATAAAATTATTATCAATATTACTAATAACAACAATAATGCTCATCTTGCATTAGATTGTTAGTACTTAAGATTGTTAATGAAAAGTGATGACAGTACTAAATATTTGTATATATTTTACACTATAAATTGTAAGATGTATTCTGCTTAATAGCTTAACAGTTTAATCCAATATTGTGAATTTATAAGCAACCAGGATTTTGAAATCTAATATATTTTAGAAGAATATCATTTTTATAAATACAAATTAATTCTGTACAGCGGGCTTATTTAATTACTCCAATATAATTTTTTTTTTCATGAAAAATACATTAATGATTGATACTAAAAAATGGAAAACAAAGAAAATGAACGTTACATTGGCGGATTCAATTCATTGCCAAAAGCTGTTGCTACCGATTAATCGCTGATACTCGTCCTTTTTTCCGATTCAATCCCCTGATACGCGTCGTCTCGTCGGCAGATACGATAACATTGATCGTCAGATACGAAAACATTGATCGGCAGATTACACCTCTCTTACTCTTTTACCCCTCCCGTCTCCCTCCTCTCTAACATACACTTACACGTACTGCATGCATGCATTCTCACACACACACCAAGTTCTTCACTCTTCTCCGTTAATAAATTAATGTCTCGCATATACGTACAGTAATAGATGCTCGCGTGGGGATGAAATCGACATTGATTTATAGGACAAAGAACTGAGGCTCGTGCGCGCAAGTCGCGACTTTATCGGCATCTTCTGCCCTTTGCCGAGTCAAGATTCATTTCTCTCTCATTGCTGTTTATATTTGTGTTTTCTTCCAGTTCTTGATTGGCCTCGGGAAATCCATTTATTAACTTTTTGGGGTTACTTCAAATAAAAAGAAACATTTTTTTATCATAATTAATATATTTAATATGGAGAATGAGGGATTTCGGTGATAATATTGTTACGATTTAGTTATTTCAAATCCTTACTTTTGTTTACTTACTAAACTTACTTTTGTCTACTTACTTAAATTAACATTTAAGTAATTTCAATTTTAGACATATTTAAAATTTAATTATTAAAGTAGATATTGTTTATACAAAGCCTTAACAATATCAAATATATATAAAATATTACTTATTTACAAATTAAATTTAACTGCACTTTTACATTAAAACTTATATTTCATTTTTTTTAAATATTCAATATATACATATCACACATAGAGAAAACTTTTTCCATTTTGTTGAGAAAATTCATGAACGTATAAAAACTATGAAGTCTAATTTGAATTTATAAAAATTTTTTCATTAAACCAATTTATATAAATAACTAGATAATGATACAATGAAATATAAAAATATGTTCACTTTATATTTCCTTTAAAAATTTTAAAAATAACGAAAATTTTATTGGAGTAGATTTTAATATTATGTATATTACTATTGAATTAGTTTAAACGAAGGTAGTTTGAAATCTCTACAAAAAATGTACAGAACGAAAACATATAAAAAACTGTGTATTTATCAAGTTGTACTTTGATATCAAATGGATGAAAGATTATAATTTTTTTAATTCCATCATAAAAATAATATTAAAATTGCTGATAAATACATATTTATTTATTTATTCTGTATATATTTAATTATTTATATAATATGTAGTGAATATTCATATTAATATTTTAAGAATATTTAGCTATTTAGAAAACCATGCTTTAAATGTGATTTTTTTGTATGGCTATAATGTCATTCGTTTTAGCTTAAGCTTTTTGTATTAATAATGTATTTTAATAATGCCTTATTGTAATTAATTTTTCTATATTATTAATTATTCAATAATGGATTAATGAAAATCTTAAATTTCTATAGTGTTAATATGTTTATATTCGACAATATTGTTTGCATACTTACAAGTAGTACTTATTTTCACTTAAAATCGTACATTATTATTCATTACTAACTATAACTTTAGAATACAATCCAGTGTAATAATTTTCACTTGTAAAACGAAAAAACTGTTATGATTGAAAAAACGGAGTCGTCATCACTAGTAGCGCTTCATTCAGCCATGGCAATTCTTTGACTAACGAGAGATTAAAAATCTTGTCTGTCAAAGCCGGTACGCGGAGAGATATCGCTCATCAAGGAAGTTGCTCTGATACCGATGTCCTGCTTATTCACAAATAGAATCGCGCGAGATTTCGAGAGTCAGACGAGATATGAGCCAAACGTCCCTTTTTTTTATTCTCCATCCTTTTTTAAAATTGTATTAGGCGACCGTACAGTATATTTATGCCTTTTTTACTGATAATAATGTAGTTGCGAATATTAAGAACTTTTGTTGTCTTTTAGATAATAAATTGTATATTTTATATAAAAGAAAAATATACGATGTTCATATGTCCCTATAAAACATTTCTTTACTATTATTTAATTTCTTTTCTGAATCTTGACCTACTGTATTTATGTATTTTAAAAATTAATTATCTTAAGTTGCTTATACGTACGAATAAAATGATAAAGATATTAATATTATAATAATTATGCGATTCATATTATTTATTATTTACAAATAAAAAGTAACACAGCATAAATATTCAGTAGCCTAATTTGATGTTCTAAAAATATTTCTTATTACTAATTATAATTTTTATAATAATATCAAATACTTACATATTTATATAAACAAAAATATTTATCGTATAATGTACTCAATAAATAAAAATTATTAATGTATAAACTATTTTAATAATTAAAAAAATATATGTACATTCATGTACAGGATTTAAAAAAAAACTACTACTATTGATATACTTCCTGATATTGTAATGTATCTCGAATGTATTGAACAAAAAATTAATTAAATATATTATGTATTTCATATTTTATTTATAATTTTTACTTAGTGAGACTGTACTCTATTATTTAAAGAGGTTTTATATTTTGGAGAATAGTAACCAAAATAAAGTAATTCTTTTTAATTTTTATAAGTAACTAATAATATAACTTATATGAAATCTCGAAGATTATATTATAAATTTACGCTACTAAGTAGTTTATTTTAATTTCCAGGATTGTTTCGATTATGAAGTAGATTCAGATGATGAGTGGGAGGAGGAAGAACCAGGAGAATCTCTTCATGGTTCCGACGATGAAAAAGAAAAGGATGAAGATAATGCGGAAGAAAATGAATATGATGTCGATAATGACTTTATGGTACCACATGGGTATGTTTAAATCAAATCATTTAATATATTAATCTTCTATTTAATTTAAAAATTTGACAACTTTGATTAATGACAGTACTTGCTTGATTACAGGTACTTGTCAGAAGAAGAAATAGGCGCTGATGAAGAAGACGAAGATGACATAGTATGTATGGATTATACAGTATATATTTTTTTGCAATTATTTAAAGATTCAACGTATTACAACAATTTGAAAGGATTAAAAGTTTTTTCATACGTGTACTAATTAATTAATCATATTTTGTTTTTAATTGAATTTTGTTCAAAATAAAATTTATAGATACTCATTCATGTGGCATATATTATGTTATGTATTAAATATTGAATATTAAACATTTTTTCTTATTTGATATTTGGGTGAATGAATTCTAAAAAAATTTTCAATAATTTTTATATAATAGTATAAAATTATGATTATTTCAATTATTACTTATTTGCATACATTTTTATTTTATTTTACAGAATCCAGAAAAGCAGCAAACAAAACTGAAAATTCTTGGTGAGCAATTTGAAGCCGAAAGAAATATAAAAACTAAGAAACTGAAACCTAAAGTGATTGGATGTATTTGGTTAAATAAAAATAATGCTTATCCTCAAAATAGTAAGTAAAATCTAAAAGTAGAATTTTTTACTTATTTAGAATTTTATTAATATAATAACATTTTTAGCGCCGGAGCACGCTGTTCATTTTTTGACGGTACGTCATATTTGGGTTAATCATGTTCCATTAATACTAACCCCTCCAGCCGATGCAGAAAATACAAACGACAATGAAAACGGAACACCATCAAACAAAACTAATGCAGCATCTTCTGCACGAAAGGCCAAAGCATTAGAGGAGGCTATGCCGGATTTAATACGATTACTGCATGGAAATACACATGGTCGAGGATTCTTAGTAAAAGAGTTTCTTGAATATTGGGGCAAAAAAAAGGAGGGAGAAAAATCAATCCCAAAAGCGAAATTACAACAGAAATTCCGTGAGATAGCTTCGTGGATTGCTTGTCCAGAAGTTGGACCCATGCATGAAAAAGTATGCTGGTATGTAGGCGAAGAATATCGAATAAGATATGTGGCTGAGGAAAAACTTGAATTGCCAAATCAATGGTCGTATTCGTTGACTCCAAGAAAAAGAAAGCTGCTTCCCGAAATATTGGATAAATCTGATGAAAAGGAAAAGGAGAAGGAGAAGGAGAAAAAAACAGTGCCTCTCATCACAAATTTTACAAAATCATTAACTCCTATAGATAAACAAAAACAATTGATGGAAAACACGCTTACACCTAAGTCAAAATTGAATGAAAAGTCAACGACTTCTGCATCTGCATCAAAAATCACTCCACCAGTAAATAAACCACCTAAACGTGCCTCCCTTATTTCTGTCCCTCGAGGAGAACCCTTTTCTAAGTCACCTCGTATAAGTCTTATGGACAAATTTGTAACTAAGGATAATAGTGACACCAGTAATAATAGTAAAAGACACGATAAGTCCCAACAGAATCTGGACGACGATGATTGTTTGATCATGGATAATTCTGATGAGCACATGGAGATAATGTCGATGTCTTCTGAACTTAATAGCGGAAAAATAATAAATAAATCAATATGTAATATAGAAATTGATAAGAATGAAAATGGTATTATAGAAAACACCGATCATAGCGATCGATGAGTTATTACATCTAAAAATTCTGATTTGGAATTGAGAGAAATGTAATAATTTTTGTGGAACATAATATGCAAATATTGTTTTTGTATCATGTAAAATATATCTATCAATTTATTAATATCAATTTTAGAAGTCAAAATTAAATGAAAAACGAGTTATCAAAAATATTTTTATGTCGAGGTTGTTCAAAAATATATATATCATAACAGTTTATATGCAAATATGATTATAATTTAAATAAATGTTCGTCTAAAATATTTTTAGAAACATTATTAGTATTTAATGTCAATTATTCGAATAAAGAGTATAAGTTCTTAAATAATATTTTTGTGAATGCATTACTAAAAAAAGCAAGATTCTTAGGTCCTCAAGATTGTGACATATGATTTTGCTGCTATTATACTTATGAAAACAATTATATTTCGGTTCATTAACTGGAAATTAAAAGCTTTTATAGTATTTTTTTCATAACACTAATATCTTAATAATTATTTAAGAAATTTTAAATTAAATTGATTCTTACAAATTTATATTTCAATAAATAGTCCATTATCATTTTATTATATTTGCTCTCAATTCAACGAGAGTTTTATATGTGTACACTAAATTCGATTAAGTCATCTCCTTTCTATAAACAGTGTATGTTATTTATAAGATGATTTCATATACTTTAATCATTTTTTATATTGCTTAGTTACATAAGAAATGATTAAATAAAGTATTACTTATATATTTAATGTGTTATATTATTAAAAACTGTTATCAATATATTTAGATAGATATTAATATTTCTTTAAATTTTAAATGAACTAATTTAGGCTTAATTTTTTCTTAGTAACTTTTCTTTTTAAATGATAATCATTTTTATTTAAAAGTTAAAGTCTGCTTAATAATTAATCCACAAAAACGTACATTTATGACTAATAAGTAAAACAATAGTATTTCAAAAAATTTTAAATGATACATTTTAATATATAGAAACATTCCTATATATTTAATCATATAAAAGTGTATGAATAATTAAAAAATATATATATATATATAAATTTTACATTATATATATAAAAATAAAATTTAACAAGTGGTAGTCAAATAATAATTCGAACATTTTTTATATAGTCAAATAAGTCTAAAATTTAAAAATAATGTTAGAATATTCTTCCAAAATAATATTGCAAGCTAAAATTATTCATATTTATATTTAATTTCCAAGTATAAATATTGTAATTGTAATGAAATAAATATAACTTGAATACTGATATTACAAACATCAATAAATTGTACGCAGATGTACCGTTATTTGTTCATATTTTATTTCATAAGATTTCATTATATTTTGTTTGGTATATTTTTAAAAATAATTTATTATTAAATAATTTACAATTTCTTTGTTAGAAATTTTTAAAAGTAATTATTCACATTATTTTAACTTGTTATCATATTTTATAAAATTACTTTTTCATCGTCTAATATTAATAGACATTTGAATTGTTCATTCATCAGGTCAAAATATTTAATGAAATAATTATTTTTTTTCTTTATCAAGTCATTACTTTATTACCTTTCTTTTTAATCTAATTTAAAATTGTTATCAATGGAGTAGTAATGTATTTTGTACCGTATAGTTATAATCATATTTTTCATATAAACACGTTTCAAATTTTCTATTTCTTGAAAATTGCTGTCCGTAATTCTGTATCCTATTTTATATTAGAAAATGTAAATAATTTTAATTGGTATAATAACGTGTGGCACGCTTTCATATAAAAGCTATTATATTCATCTGATGAAAATCAAAATGTCCATTTAATAATTAAAAGATCACTTATTTAGTATAAAACGAATGAAAGAATTTAAATAAATTTTGATGAATAACTATTGATTATTGAATTGATATATTAATATTACTTAATAGATTATTATCGATCTATAATACTTTTAGAAATTATCTTTTAATTATATTGCATTGTAATAGCTAGAAAAAGATATTTGATTATATTATTCTGAATTGAATTTTTTTATGTATATTTTATAAATGTATCACTACATTTTTAACATGTATTAGATTTTGTTTAATTTATTACTTTGTGTTTTAAAATGTATTACAATATTGTCTTATGCTATGTAAAACTTAATCAATATTTTTTAATTTATTAGAAAAAGTATTTCGTTTTTTAGGTAAAGCATAAAGTATTTTGCTATTTTTCCATATGAATTTAAATATCTATATACCTTACGAATGTTCGCTTTCATTAAATTCATTTATTAACATGATTAATATATCAAGTAAAGTAGTATAATAGTATAAAGTACCAATTTTTGTAGTTTTCATATTTCAGTTAATATGTACCAAATTCGATATAAATTGTCGATAAAACAAAAAGAAAAAGAAAGAGAAAAGAAATTTTGCAATTAGTAGTTTAAAATTAACATAGAACAATAATAAATGTCGAATCTTAGCGCAGGGGCAAATATTTAACAATTTTTGTGCACGGATTGCTGCAATTATTAAATTAATCCTTTATGAAATTAATGAATTTAAAAATCGTCGATCTCCAATATTTCGTGTATATATTGTAGAATGTGTATGTTGGAAATTTTTATTTTAATAGCAAGAAAGTTGCAGATTTAATTATATACCCTATTTATTCATAACTGCGTTAAAATTTTGAGACTTCGTTTTCTTGAAAAATGGGAAATAAATATTATAAACTGTCAAAATATGCGTGTTCTTATGTTTCAAAAAATAAATAAATATTAATAATATTTGTTTGAAAAAATTCATTGTCAAAATCGTGCATGTTTCTTGTTATATTTACAATGTAAGTCAGTTTAAAATGTTTATTCAAAATTGATATAAAACGTTTAAATCGAATTTTTGGATTTCTAGAAATTATTTGACCATGCCATCATTGAATACTGATAAAAACTGCAATTTCATGAATCCTGAAAATTTGAGAATTGTTCCTATTTTGAATAGTTTTTTATATTATTAATTGTTTACGTACAGTATAAAGCATAAAATCAATTACACGAATGAGTATAAAATTATTATTAAAATTACTATTATTTCAATATGAAATTATTAAAAATTTTATACTTTATAATTATGGTGTAATAATTTTTTGTAAATTTTGTATGGTAAAAAATCATTAATTTTATGAATATATATTTAACATTTTTTATGTCTTATTACAGTAAAATATTTCATTTTCATTGGAGCTAGTATGGAATTCTAATAAATATTGTGCAACAAATATTTTTCAAGTATAATTAATGTAAAATATGATAAAATGCTCATTCAATTTTTTATTGTATTATAGAACTGTAATCAGTATAAATGAGCATTAATATTAATTTGTGGACGTTCGTTTTCTACTAATTACTTTTAATTATATTTTACTTTTATTAATATTTAGGATCATAACTTGCAATCAAAGAATATTCAAAATGGTAAAGAAACAAGTATGATACTTGACTGTTTAGAAAAGATGAAGCAACCAGGCACTAAATCGATTTGTAGCCCGTGGCATAAGGCAAAATCGTTTTCTTTGGATCATTGCTCTCAATGGCAAGTGACTTCGAGATATTCATTGCGCCTAATTGCTCGTAGAGAATTGTCGAATGCCTGCAAGTCTCTTTACGTCAACTTACTGGAAGTCTGCACGCAGTGCATCTCTTAACGAAAAAGATAAAGGAGCACGTTAAATAGAACAAAGAAGATAAGTATGTAAGATAATTTTATAGAGACGAATGAAAAGTAGAATATTAATGGTTAGAGAGAAGATAGAGAGAAGATAGCGAGAGGTAGAGAAGGGGGAGTGAGAGATTAAACGATAAAAAGAAATAGGGAAGTCAACCCCGATTCTATCGGTTGAAACAAAAGAAAATTGGAACCACTAATTTTCTATTCCGACAGATGTGACTTCTTCGCTTGTAAGCCTCTAAATTGTGAAAAGTATTCTTTTGACATTCCCATCCTCGTCTGAAAACATTAATTTAACTTTTTTATTATTTTATCGTTCTTTACAATTTAACGCGTTTTTTTATTCGATAAACAGTGTAAAACTTTATTGTTATTTGAATAGTTTTTTGTATAATATATTTATAAAGAAGTATTTGAAAAATTTATTCACTAATTTATATTCAATTATAGAGAATGTTTCTGTTTAGCAAGAATTATAAAAGTTGCAGTTTTTAGGTTTATTTTCTATGCATCTAAAAATACTCAGATGACACAAATTGGTAATATATATGTATAATATTTAAACTACTTTTCGTATTGTATTAATTCATTGCAAAAATTTACTTTAAACATATTTTTAATAGATTTTGAATATTTGCAGATTTAAATTTATTTAATGTTTCGATCAAAGTTGTATCAAATATCATAGTTTAACTTTTAATTAAATCCATTTAACGGTTAAGTTATTTGACTAAGAAAATTTTAACGTCTTCAATAGTCATTCATTGTTTCGCTACAGCAGGATTCTATCGGAGTATTCTATCGGTATATGAAAAAATATACGATTCAAAATGTTTATAAAAATGTTTATAAATACAAAGTAATAAGCATTGCATAAGATTTATATGCTACAAATCAACTTATTTTACATTCACCTAATATCTTATAAATTCTAATGTTTCATTGGATAAATAAAAAAATGTTATAATGTGCACAATTATGACATTTAAGATTATAAGTACGTACGATCGTGTTATGTTCATAATCATGAAAATTGATGTAAAATCCCATATTATACCAAGTAGAAAGAAAAAAATACAAATTGCATAAAATATAAATATAGGAAATATAAATATAAGAAATATAAATATATGTGCAATGATAAATTCTCTATACATTAATATACAATGTAAGAATTATATTAAGGGTTGATTGTAATTTGAAGGTATATGTGACAACTCTTGGAGGATAATTGTTCTATTAACGTGATATAATCTAATAAATAACTATGCCTTTTACTAAGAATTTTTTTTCATATTTCACCTATATACAATCGTCATTGAACCAATTCAAAATTTTGTTTGTTAATAATTTGAATAATTTTGTTATGGTTAATTTTAAAGAT